TTTTGGGAATATTTTGAAAGCATTTTGAGAATGTTTTAAAGATTATTTGCAGCTTTGTGCTGTGTGAGCACCCACTACCACCACAACGACGTAGCTATCATGGGGGACGACGCCCAGACACCCCCACGTCGTAAGCGGGGTGCGGAAGTATTGTTGGGCCGTCGGTACGCCATGGCGGTGGAGATAGCGTTGGCGATTCCGCCGGGCAAAGAAAGGGTACCCAAGGGCTTTCTAGGCCCCCAAGTGTCTTGGTTTTAGTGTGGCTGGTTTTTGTATGGGAGGACGCGAAATGGATCGTTCAGTAGAGGTAACCTTGGGTTTAGGGTTCGGGATAATTCTTGTCGTTTTTTGGTATGTTTCGTTTCGTGCCCCCACCCCCACCCTCATGGAAAGGGGCAAAATACGGCCTTTTTTGGCCTAAGCCGCTAGTGCATGCAAGGTAGTGCGCAAGAAAAAAATAGAAATATGGGTTTCAACCCGAAAAACGNTTGTTGGGCCGTCGGTACGCCATGGCGGTGGAGATAGCGTTGGCGATTCCGCCGGGCAAAGAAAGGGTACCCAAGGGCTTTCTAGGCCCCCAAGTGTCTTGGTTTTAGTGTGGCTGGTTTTTGTATGGGAGGACGCGAAATGGATCGTTCAGTAGAGGTAACCTTGGGTTTAGGGTTCGGGATAATTCTTGTCGTTTTTTGGTATGTTTCGTTTCGTGCCCCCACCCCCACCCTCATGGAAAGGGGCAAAATACGGCCTTTTTTGGCCTAAGCCGCTAGTGCATGCAAGGTAGTGCGCAAGAAAAAAATAGAAATATGGGTTTCAACCCGAAAAACGCTCAAGATTTCAAAAAAAGTATCGCCTAAGACATCGGACACGGCTAAATGGTCGTTCGTGTAATCATAACGGACTTTACTTATGTGACAGAGAAAGTATAGTTTATATGTCTTTCTCGCCACAGTACATCTTTTCTCGCGATTCCTTCTCAGGGGCACGCAGAAGGCTCGTCGGTACATTAACGCTCGTGTCCGGAGCTCGACAGGCCACCGTAGCGCGCGTGTGTGTGTGGTCGACGCTCAAAGTTTCGAAAACTGGCTGAGTATCCAGGGGACGCGTTCCGCGACGATAAAGCCTGCCAATTCGAAAACTTTCTGTTACATATCGGGGGATCGGGGTGCGCTACCCACCGCGTACGTATTTGTGTTGAATGCCGAGGTTCTTGTCCTGGTAATGTTTTAAGTCCAGTAGAGCTGCGATCAAAGTGTCATGTTATTAGAAGTTCTGATCATATCGGGACAACATGGGAGAAGACTCCGGGCGGGTCAGACTGACCACTTGGGGGTGTCTCTTCGTCCACACACATGTCCACAGTTTTCCAAAATCCTACTCTTAACACAACTCTGCTGACAGTCCATACTTGCATTCCGAGAATCTAAGATTCTATCCAATCCTCCTCTCAAAAGACCTGTCGAATCTCTCAACTTATTTCCCTTATATATACCAATCCGCCTCACAACTTCCCGATAGTTCAGTATCCTTTCAAACATGTCCCGCTCTTTTCCACCTGCTCTCTTTCCAAGTAGTACGCTTGGCTGCACTCAGTTTACACCAGCCCTGTCCCATACCACACTATTAACCGTAGTTACCCGGTAATTCCACAGTTCCAAGAAAAGCGGCCCGATTGCACCACATTCGCCCACCCTGATTCAGTGTCAACCTTTCTAAAGATAAGTTGTACACAGAAACAACTCCACAAGGTGCAATCTGCTACACATCTTCCTCGTGCCCAATCCTCAACTCTGCTCCTTGATCCTCCTCGCAGCAAGGCATGCAGACCCGTTTTCCTGCCGACTCAGCATAGTCTCATTGTGAATATCTACAATTACGTTTCATCAATCTACAGCAGTCGTGATCCCAACAATCCTGTTTGATATGCTGTCAACCCCACATAANAAAAGGCTTCTCATTGTTGTCCATGTCCTCCTCATGCCTGTTGCCTACAGTTCCTTCCATACAAATCTTCCTTCAATCCCTCACTCTTCTTTCTGTTCCAGTCATTTCCCACCATATTTCCTGCTCTCACTCTTGCAACTATCGTCTCATCCTTACCACTCATAATTCCAATGCTAACAT